CAAATAAATAAATAACGTGCAGAAATAATCAAGCAAATATAGAGATGGGTTGGTAAATAAATCAACAAACAGGAGAGAGGAGGATGAAACAAGCCACAAAACAGTGTCGGCCCGCTGCTGCCAATGGAGGGGAGCAGCCCTGGTGCCCCATGGAGCTTCTCAGTGCCTGCCCCACTCCTCACTGGGTGGGGACCTGTGGGTCTGGGTGTGCACAGGATGGGTGGAATGAGGGGTCACCCACCCCCTCTGCTCAGACCCAGCATCCAGTGCTGCTCAACCGTGGAACGCTCGCCATTTCATACTTGGAATGCTCTCAGTAACCCTATGCCCCGGCAGCTGCTGTGTGCTGAGCCCCTGCTGGCTGCTCACAGCGTGAGCCCAGGGGTGGGAAAAGCACTGGGAAAATGCCCATCGAATCTTCCTTCCCTCTTTGCATCCAAACTGAAGGCGCATCTCAGTAGCAAACGGCTCTCACTGGTGCTGGTGGAGCTGCTGGTGTTCCTCCATGCTCAGCTCTTCCACCCCCACCGACCTCTTTGCACCCCCCAGTGAATTTGGGAACCATTTTAAACAGCAAAGGGGGCAATTAAGAAGAGTTGCTCTGGTCCTGGAGAGGTGCCCCCAGGCTGAGCATTGCACAGTATATGGGCAGAGGTCCCCCACTTTGTCCCCATCCCTCCCTGTGTCCCCACTGCCTCAAAACTCTCACCTGAAGCATTGCAGCTGGGGGAGAAAAGCCACAGATCCCCACAGGAGCCCCATCCCACAGAGCCTGCTGGGCCCCAGGGTTTACAGAGAATAACCCCAAAAATAGGATATATGTATTTTTTTAGCAAAAGTCAGACATCAGCTGCCCATTTCACGCTTTTTTTTTGGAGGTTTTTGGTGACACAGCAAACACCCCAGAGAACACATGGGGAAGGCTGAGGGCAGACCCCAACCTTCCTGAATTCCCCAGGGGGGACGGAAAACTCTTTGTGCACCAGCAGTGCAGCAGCAGCTGGAGGAGCCTCGTGGCGTTCCTCTCCTTCCCCTCGGAACAAAGCCACGTTCCAGGAGGTGGGACCCACGCCAGACCCCATCCCAGCGACCTCTACCAAGGACAACCAAGTTTTAGGGCAAAATAGTTCTGATTTGGCTTCCCAGAGGGCTAGAGGAGCAGCAGGACGCGCCTGGTGAGCTCGTGTCAGGGACCTGGGGGCTCCAGACCCAGAGCATCCGTAAAAGACTTTGCTCTCTGATGGAGACACGATTGGGACGAGCTCATTTTGCTCTGATCACACGTCTCCAGCCATAACAAGTTTCATAAAACACAAAAGCAGAGAAAACGTTAAAAGAAATAACCCTGTAAAATCAAACGCAGCCAGCTCTGCCGTCCCCCTGCAGCCACCCTGGGTGCACTCCAAGCCCACCTCCCCGCTCCCACCAGCGACCCCAAGCAGCCACAGAACGACTCAATCCACCCCAGAACGGCGCTGGTGGCCGACTCAGATGGAACTGACTGCCACAGCTGGGGGCCGACAGCCCCACATCCCCAGCAATCCCACAGGGGGTCCCTCTTACCTGCGAGCTGGTGCCTGGTGTCTGCAGAGCTGAGCACTGCGGGGCCCGGCGGCGGAGGGGGAGTGTTAACCCTCAGCTGGCTTCCAAGTGGTCAGTAAAAATAGCACAAATCCCCTCTGGTGCACTGCGAGCCCCACTGCCCCGTGACGTGCAGCGCACACCTGGGGTGCTGCCTCGGGCACACGCGTGCATTGCAGCAGGGTTTGTTGCACCCTGACCCCAACGCGCTCACAGCAACGCCTGCTGTTTGCATGAGGTCAGTTCTGCTGCTGCTCGCTGCCCAGTGTGCACAGATGGATGCATCCGGGGTGCAGCAGCAGCGCCCATGCGCTTCCCACTCCGCTCCTCTCCCACGCAGTGCTGGGCAAGCCCTGCAAGGAGGCAAAACTCGCGAGGCCGTGTCTCTGCATGGCTTTTCTCTCTGCAGAAAATCTCTCAATTTTATTTATTTTTTTGGCAGAAAAGGAGATGGGGTGAAGAACTGATGTATGCACAGCCCATGAGCTGCAGTGATGTACCCACAGCAGTGCTGCCCACGGGGCTGCCAGGGCAGGAGTGCACATCCCCACTGGTGGGGGTGATGGGGAGGGGGTTCCACCAACAACACCAGGCGCTTGGTTAGAGCTGAGAGCAGGTTTGTGGGTCAGGAGCAGCCAGGTCCTGGTTGGGATGCTCAAGCAGTTTCCACCCCCTAAGCTGCTCCCTGCCCCCCAGCCGGGTGTCCCCACAGAAGGAGGCTCCGTGCAGCCCATAGGGCAGCAGCACCTGTTCCCAGGATATTTTTAGGGGCAAATTTAGGAGCAAACAATCCCCAGCGTGCAGCCCAGCAGGACAATGCCTGGTATTTTAATCCTACATCTATTATGGTCACAGAGGGACACGCAGTTGCGTGCGTGGGGCAGCTCCAGTGATGGGGGCTACAGCAGCCCCATGTCCCACTGAAAACGTGCAGTTCCCATCTCCTCCCACTGCCAGGACACCTGCAGGACCTGTGCCATGGGGGGGCGATGCAGCAGCCCCCCTGCTGCTGTGGGCTCAGTAGTGGTGGCAATGAGCGTGGCAGTGGCAGTGGCAGTGGCAGTCCCATCCTGGCTTCACCTGCTCTGCTCCCAGCAGACACAGGATCAGCGTGGTGGATCCCAGGCTGCAGGAGGAGGTGTTACGGCAGTCCTTTATAAGGCAAGATGCCCGCGGGGCTGTGCCTCCAGCATCTCTCCTTGGGATTGTTCTGTGCACACAGAGGAACCAAATTTAGCTGGTGACAAAAGGCCCTGCATTCCCCGCAGCCCTGCCTGGGGACCGGGGCTCAGGGTGCAGCGCAGGCAATTTTGGGATGCCATTGGCTCCAGGCTCAGGTTTCGTCCTCTGTAGGGACCTGGGTGGAGGAGGAGGGGAGGGAGAGGGGCTCCTCTCAGCCCTAGGCTTTGAGCTGCAGGACCAGCAGGAGGTATGGGTGTCCCCATCCCCCTGATGTCATGGGGACATTTTGGGTCCCTACCACTGTCTAATACCCAGTGAGGAGCTGCCTGGAGACACTGGGGTTGCTTTGTGAGATGTCGCCTGTAGTTTTATGAGATGCTTTCTGAGCTCTTCATATGTAGGATGGGGACAATCTGGAAATCTATGGGGAAGATCAGTTTGAGGTCAAATTCTTTGCAAAAGAATATCCCCCAGTGCTTGGGACAAAATGATTCAAAGCAGGGCTGAGGAGATGGATGCCAACACTGAATTCCCAGAGCTGTATGGGAAGGTTGGACCCTGGGAATCATTAATGCTGGAGAAGACCTCTGAGATGCCCAATCCAACCCAACCCATCCCCACCATGCCCACTGACCATATCCCTATGCGCCACATCCTGAAGGTGTCAGAGCCCCAAATTCAAGACAACCGACCCCCACAAGTGGCTGGACACCCCACACAAAGCTGCTGCCCCTCATGTGGCTTTGCAGCAGTGCTGGTGGGTCCCATCCCCAACTCTTGGCCCTGGGGCCATCCCACTCATCCATTCTTCTACCAGGAGTTGTCTCCCTTTCCATTGACCCCAGAGGTGATTACAGAGCCAGCGGGCTTCCCAGGGCAGCCAGGACAGAGTTAGAAACAACAGCTGAGCCTCTGCTGTCCCCTGGGACCTCACACCCCAAACACAGCCATCCCCATCCCAACACTCAGAGCCAACCCCAAACATTGAGGGCACCGCAGAGCTGGGGGTGGGGGAGACCCTGTGGGCTGAGTGGGAGGGGGTGGGACAGCTCAGAGACCTGGGGACATCACCTCCAGGCGTGGAATTGGAGCTTGGCACTGGGGATGGAAGGGACATAGAGGACATAAAGCTATCAGAGAGCATCCAAAGGAGGGCTGTGAAGGGTCTGAGGGCAGGACGAACGAGGGGCTGAGCGCAGCACCATGGGTGCCAACCCAGGACAGAGCTGCACAGCTGGATTTTCAGGCTTTGAACTCAGGCAGCCCCAGGCACCCTGCTCCATCCCGGGGCTCAGCGCCCACCTGCAGCTGTGCTCAGTGCCCCCGGGGTCCCAGTGCTGCAGGGGCTGTGTGGTTTCCACCCCTCTACTGTGCCTCAGTTTCCCCACCTCCTACAGCATTAGAGAAGCTTCCTGTGTGTCCTTGCTCTGCTTTTGGAAGCGAGGGCTGGAAGCACCCCTTGAACTCCTTGCATCCCTAACAGCCAGCTAACACATGTGGGCAGCATTTAGACTGCTGCAGAGCTCATGGGGCTCCTTACAAGGAGTTTTCCCCTGCAAATCCAGCCCCCCACTAAGAACCTTCCTGCAGGAATCACACAGGTGCTGCTGCTGCCCTGTGCTCCACACGTGTGGGTCTGCTTGCACACAGCGTGCCCCCAGCTCAACCCTGCACACCCTATTAAAAAAACCCAATTCTCAATACCAGAGGGAGGCGGATGGGTGGAAATCCATCCAAGATCTGCTTGGAAGGGGCATGGTGCAACATGACAAGCAGGCACTGACCGTGCCACCGTCCCTCCCCAGAAACACCCAGAGCTGGTTTGGCACAGGGCCGGGCCAGAGGGCCACTGTGCTGCGCTGTTCCCACGCAGCCGGGTGTGCTCCCAGCAGATCTGCACAGCCCGGGGCTGTGGGGCTCAGGCTGCAGCTTGTGGAGCTCGGCAGCTCCGGGCACTCACATCAGCACAGCCTGTCTGGGCACAGCCCCATGGTGAGGGATCCCTTCCCCTGCTGCTGTCCTGCCTGCACCGCCTGGCAGCGAGACCTGACCCCAACCCTGACCCCAACCCAACCCCAGCCACCATGGGAGCAGCAGGGGACGGCAGGGTGGGGGGCACAGGAGCCTGGCTGTGGGATGCTGGCAGATTTAAGGGGATGTCTATGAACAATCTGTGAAGCTCTGTGCAGGATTAGTGTTCTCTCATATACTGTGTGATCCCGCAAAACAAAGCAAAAAGAACAAAGCAGCAGAAGGACATGTTGGGGGTACAGTCAGTACAAGGAGTTGGGGGCCACAGTGTCACATTGCCATCCCCAGGGCAGCATCCAGCGGCGCAGCCGTGTCACCGCACCATCCCGGCATGGTGACCGACGGGTCCCCTCTGCAGTCCTTGCACCATGTGGGGTCTCGGGGGCTTTGTGTCCCCATCCACATCCGATGTCCCATGGCTCAACACCGCACTTCAGGTCGGCCTCACCCATCCCATCCCCTGTCCTGCAGGAGAGGCCGGGGGTCTCCGCCAGTCCGCCATGGGCCTGGCCACATCCATCACCTTCGGGAGCCCCTGGTGGTGGCCCTGGCTGTGCCCTTTGCCCCATCGGTCCAAGTGGGCGCAGCCATGCCCTGGTGCCTCACTGTCCCGCCCCATGGCACTGGGGCCGGTGCCTGCACTGGCCTTCCTGGGGAGCCCCGACGGCTCAGTTGCTGGCTGGGATCCTATTCTCTCCTCCTCCCACTGAGCTGAGCGCCGTCTCCATCCTGCTCCGGGGATGCTGCACAGCCACGCGCTGTCCCACTGCAGCTGCGTCGTACTGCACCACTGCGGAGAGAAGCACTGCTCACCCACCCGGCCAGTGCTGGGCAGGAGCAGGGGCTGCCCTGGGGAGCGTGGTGTCACCCCCACCCCACGTGCCAGAAGGCAGAGCCCACCCCGTGTCTTTCTGTGAGAGGGACAACATCAGCGCGTCCCTCTCTTGGGGTGCAATGGGTTGAAACCTGAGTGGCAGGGGAGCTGCACCGGGTGTCAGCAGAGCCCAGCCAGGGCAGGGGGGAGCGCAACGCAGACCCAGGAAAGGACCTCCCCCATCCTGGGGCCACCGGAGCACCTCGGGGCAGGATCCCACCACCGGTTCCCCACGCCCCGAGCACAGCAGGGCCGTTACCTGCTCTGCAGCTGTGCCGTGCCCGCACCACCTGGATGGCCTGCTGGTTCTTGAAGCGGACAAGGCCCATGGTGATGGCAGCGTTCCAGCCCGGGTCCTCCTGGGCGCAGCGGAAGTCGATCTCGTGGCTGTCGTCCATCACCACCGTGAAGTAGATGTGCCTCTCCTTCCACTCCACGCACTCCACCGCCTTCATGCGGGCGAAGCTCAGCTCCTTTCGACGCGAGCCCTTGGGCTCGAAGAGCTGCAGCCCCTTCTCAGTCAGCAGGCACCGCTTCTTCTTCCAGAGCTGCAGCAGCCCCCCGCTGCGCTTCTCCAGCACCCCTTCCCGCAGCACCTTCTCGGGGGTCATGGCGGCTCCTCAGCTCCCGCAGCCGCGCATCCCCCGCTGGGGATTTCCACCCCTCCCCCCGCCGCTCCGGGGCCCCCCGATGGCCCCCCCCCCGGCTCTCACAGCGGGGCAGCAGCGATGGGACGCCCCATTCCGCCGTCCCTGCGGCTGAGCTCGGCGTCCTGCCCCATGCAGCGTGTGGGATCCCCGGCTCCGCGCTCCCCAGGATCTGTTGCTACACGCCCGGCCGCTCTCCCACTTGCATTCCATCCCCGCCTCGCCTGGCCCCTCCTGCTGTGCACCCTTCACGCCCAGGCGAAGCCCAGCCAGGCCCGATGCTGCCCCGCTGCACCCACCTGCACGGTGCTTTTGGGGTGCCTGCAGGCGGGTGCAGTCCTGGGGCCCCGTGCAAACAGCCCAGGGCACGGTGTGGGCAAAGGCACAGCAGGGAGAGGACAAGATGTGGAGCTGTATTCCTATGGGGCTGGGGGTTGCAGGGGGCTGCGGGTGCAGCACCGGATGGTTGCAAGGCTATGGAGGGCAACAGCACCTGCATGTGGAGTTATAGGGTGCAGTGCCAGCTGGGGCGGGGGGGGGGGGGGTTTGGGGGGGCACTTCTAAGCCAGGAAGGGGCTGGGGGGTGCAGTGGGATTCTGGGGAGCAGCACCAACAAGAACAGAGGGCTGTGTGTGCAGGGCTATCTGGGGCAGGGGGCTATGGGGTTCAGAAGCAGCCAGGACAGAGGGCTGTGGGGTGCAGTAGAAGCTGTAGAAGAGGTCTGTGGGTCTTAAACATGGGGCTACAGGGTGCAGTGCTGCCTGGGCACAATGCTGTGGGTGCAGCACCAACCGTGAAGGGATTGTGAAGAGGGAGCTGGGAGGGGAACATCTGCAGATGGAAACGTCCATGCCACCATCCCAAGGCGGCTGTGCACCCATCAGCCCTGCACCCAAAGGAGCTGCTCCAATCCCTCAGCACAGAGCTCCTGTCCCCCTGTGCCCCCCCTCAAGGAGAACAATTTGGTGTCCCCAGTCTGTCCCACAGTGAAGACAGCATCTCCAGCTTCGTGTGACTGCGCTGAGCAGGGATGAGGCTGTGTGGCACAGCCTGGTCCCCCCGGAGTCCTCCCTCCCCAGCAGCAAAACACCAGCGCCTTTCCAGCCTGTCTTGTTCCCGACCACGACAGCTCCGTCTGTTCCCATGCCAGCCCCTGGCAGGAGCTGGCCCTGCTGTGCTGTGCCTGTGGGGACATCTGGGTGCATGGCACTGGCCACGAGCTGCTGAACAGAGCGATTGTTGCAGCACCCCGGGCGGATGGATGAACCCGGAGGTGCTGAGTGTGCAGAGCCCTCAGCAAAATAAAATAAAAAAGTCGAAAAAAGGGGACAAAAAATCCCCACGGAGCTGCACCGGGGTCACCGTCTGGGGCTGATGCCTGCCGGGGGCAGCGCTGGCAGCCAGCATGGCCAGGGGGCAAGTCTGCAGCGCCAGGAGAGGCACCTCATTATCCCTCATTAACAGGGCAGGGCCAGCTGTGCAGTCAGGAACTGGTTCGTGCTCCCCGAGGCCAACATCACCATGCTGGCACCGTTCCCCGCTGTCCCAGCAGCCCCAGTTTGGGATGTTGGGCACGGAGGGGGGTCAGCTCCGGCCCCGCGGGGCTCTGGGGGGAGTGGAGCAGGTGGGTCCCTGCAAGGAGCACACGCTCAGGGTTGGTGTACCCCAGGAATTTGGAAGCCAGCAGTCTGGGCTGTCCTTCCCAGCTCTGCTCCAGCAGGTGGGGATGTCAGTGATGCTGCTGGCCACCAACCCCACGGTCTCTTCCCTCGCCAGCTGGGGCTGCTCACTGCATTGCCACCTCCAGCCACCATGGGAAGATCAGTTTCCCACAGCCATGAGGTCACAGAGCCTGTCACCTCCCCTCTGTCCTCTGGTGACGGTCCCAGACCCAGAGAAGGGTCTCATTCTGCTGAGCCAGCAGAGCTCGATGCTGCAGCTCTGTCACCACCGTCCCAGGGCATCTCTCTGGACGGTGTTGGGTACCCCATCCCCATCCCCAATCCCCAGCGCTGCAGCCCCTAGGCTGCCATCAGGGCTGGGTGCTGCGGATGCGTTGGGCAGTGCATGGGTACAGATGTGCAGACACAACCGTCCGTCTGTCCGGAGCCGTGCCTGGGGAGCAGCAGCCAGCAGAGGGAAGCAGTTGCAGCCGTCCCACTGCGGATTGGAAAGGACAGACGGCGAGGCTGATCGGTGAGTATCTCACGCCGGTCAAAGGAGAGAAGCACACAGCGAAAGCAAAGTGTTTCAGTGAAAACAAATTAAACCTGGAGAGCTGCCAAGCTGGAGGATCAGAATCCAGCAAAAAAAAAAAACAACACCCAACCCGGGAGTAGGTGAAAAGCTCAGAGCTGTTAGCACTGCTGGGCACGGCTGCCTGGAGCAGCGCCACGGAGCAGCGCTGATGGGTTTGGACGCGGTGTGCGCATGGCAGCGCCCGCGCGGAGTGCAGGAAGGAAACACTGCCTAGGAAATGGTCACACGAGGGGAGGGCAGGAGGGGCTGCGGAGCTGCAGGGTGAGCCCCTCCGCTTTCATTGCAAGCTGCAACAGCACCGCTTCCCGTCCTCCCGCTCCATCCTGAGCTCCTGGGGAACAACCCCGCAACCCCTCGGGCAACGCCTTGGGTCAGCTTTGATGTTTATTCCTTGCTCGGTGACACGGCGCAGCGCGGCTCATCCCGGCGGGACGGGCGACGCGGAGCGGAACGCTGGGAGCCTCACTGCGGGTGGGAGCGAGCTGTGTGCCCGTGCCGAGGGACCCGTGGTGGCAATGGGGCTCCCGCAGCTTCGGGGAGCGCAGGGTCGGGGCAGGGGAAGGCGCTGGTGCCGCAAAGCAGCAGGCGGGGATGGAGGAGGTGAGGGAGCTCGCTGCGGTGTGCGGAAACCCAGGGCTGGGCTGCAGGAGCCCAGGAGGAGCAGAGCGCGGCTCCTGGTGCCTCACTGCGAGTGGATGAGCGCCCCGGCCCCCTGCCCGAAGCCAAAGCCTTTGGGCCCGAAGTTCTTGGCGTAGCAACCTGCAGAGAGAGGAGGAGTAACATTAGGACAGTGGCACGAGGGCACCGTAGCAGTTCTCTTAAAGCAGAGCAGGGTTTGCCATGTCTGCAACGCTCCCCAGAGTTGCAGGGTCACCGTCTCCCGGATCCCTGCCCCATCCCCAATCTCACACCTCCAGGCCCAGCAGCCAGGACAACTGGAGGGGACCTGAGCCCAGGGACCCCCCTGCAACAGCCCCACAAGGCAGGGGACGTGGCACAGACCTTTGCAGTAGATCTCCCCGTCTTTGTCTGCCAGGGTGGTGGACTCCAGGCTTTTGCCACACTTGGCGCAGCGGAAGCAGGACTTGTGCCAGGACTGTGAGACAGGAGAGGAACCCAGTCAGATGGTAATGGAGACGAGACAGCAAAGCTTTGGTACCAGGTGGGATCCCTTTGGAGGGATTCTGACCCTGGTTCTGACCCAAAGCCATCAGCAAAGGGGTTTGCTGATGGAAAGTCTGGCAAGAGCCCTCCTCCCCACCCTCAGCACAGCAAAGCCCTCCTGCCCCGTGGTGAAGACACAGAGGGAAAACATTGGCTCCTAAACTGAGCCTTCACCACCCCCATCCCTCAACAGTCACTTCACAATGCAGTGGGTGAAAAGCAATCGTCCTTCTCTTAAAACACAACAATAAATCCTCTGAGTTATTCACCAGGATCTGCTGCACCTGAGCCCAGGGGTGGCACTGGGAGGAGACAACTGCAGCTCTAGGGCAGCAAATAGACACTAAGAATGCAGGAATCAGCCAGCGTTCAAAAATAAAGCTCCCCCAGCCCTGCCAGTCCCTCCGGGGACAGATGAGCTCACGGGCCCCGAGCAGCACACAGAGCAGCCAGAGCCCTCACAGAGGAATTTAAATAAACGCTTTGGAAAACATCAAACCTTTTTTGGAAGAAAATGTGAAATTAGGGCTGGGGGAGGAGGTAGCTGAGAGTCATCCAGCGAACATTAGTACATTGAATACATGCTCTGGAATCCTCTCTGGTTTTCTCGAGCACAATTGCTTTGCCAGATTTGGGTCCCTGTAAACATCAACAACACCGGGAGGCCAAGAGCCAGCGCTGGGATTTTGAGGATAACCAAAATATGGCACATCCCTCACAGACCCTGCTGGAGCCTCAGTACGGTGCTGGAGGCTCCTGTGACTCCATGCTTCTGTGCTCTGGGGACGAGCACCGACTGCAGGGAGGATGAAGTGCAAGGGTCGATGTGTGGGGCAGCACCAGTGCCACCAGCACAGCCCCATAGCTGAGGCCTTCCACCGTCCTGACCCCACAGCACAGAGGTGAGCCTGGAGCACTCTTGGGTTCAGAGCTGGGCAGGGTTGGGGCCACAGGAGGGGATGCGGAGGGTCCTGGTAAAGCTCCCCTTTAGGTGCCAGGGTCGCAGGGTGTGTGTGTGTGTGTGTGTGTGTGCCCCATCCGTACCTTTCCAGCTCCAATCACCTTCTCGGCTGCGTACACCGCTTGGCCACAGCGCGGGCAGCCATCGGAGCCGCCGACCTTCTGGGCCATTCTGGATGCATTCGGGTTGGTGGGTCGGTGGGATTGGCCCCTGTGGACGGGAGGGAGCGCATTAATGGGGTGCAGGAACGGGAAGAGGAGGGCAGAGCTGTGGGAATGCAAATCCCAGCCCACTTTCGGAGGGGCTGTCAGGATGGCGTTGACCCCCGTGGAAACTGCAGCCCCACAGCTGTGTGCTGGGATGGGATGGGCAGCAGGGCTGGGCGATGGGGACGTGCCTGTGGAGCCCTCATGTCACTGAGAACATCAGAGCAGATGTGGGCCTATTGCCAGCCACGTGGCATGCCCAGCACATGGGAAGTCCCCCCTGAAGCAGGGAATCCATGACACTCTGCAGCTTGGGGACTGCTGGACACTCAGTGGGCTTTGCAGGGCGGTACAGCCGAGCACATCTGGACAGATGTGAGGGAGAAGGTGGACACAACGTCCC